AAGTAATGATAAACTGTACCCAATTACAAAACTAATTTCAGATATAACACTTATCCAAGTATTTTCTACATGAAACTTTTCCTTGTCTGTGTGGATTCTTGGAGTATGTACGTTAACTTGAATGTGAGTTTTAATTGTGATCCACTGACATCTTTATAAACGTACTTATATGAACGAATACCTTTAAAGAATTTCGTTTATATTGTGAGGGAAAGTAAACGGATTTTTCCTCTCGTATTATTGATATTAGTTCAAAGTATCTTCTTTCGGTGAGTTAAAAACGTATATTATAAATGTATGGATGTGGCGTCATTATGAAAACCATAGTAACGACAACATAATTAAGTTTTGTCTCATTAGTCATAAATAGATGGTGATAAAATTACAAAACATTGCTAAGTCTTAAATAAACATACGAGAAGATGGAAAACAAGTGAAGAACAAATTACTTTGTACCTGATGATGTTAAGTAAACTTGTCAAAATTTAATGTCTTCTCTTTGTTTATCATATTCCTATAGAGTCGTTTGATAAGTTTATTTATTCATTCCACTATAGGATTCCTCATCTTTATACAAAGCTAAGCCTAAGTAATCTTGATAAGCAAGCCTGAATTAAATAATTTCTTTTTCCGTGAAAAGATAAAGCAACTAGATAAAGTTTTCTTTAAGATGTAACATATCACGTGTAAAAAAAAATCCTTACCGCTCGAGGTTGGTCCAACCCCCCTCAATAAAAAAATCGGCTCACAGAGCTCCCATTGTAATTTTCTATCCAAATTAGAACGTTTTTAAATGTTGCGAGGGGTTGCTGGGCATTAGTGGATGGCAATACAAAGATAGGACTAAAACAATAATATATTACCGAAAAGATTTGTTATAGTACACTTCACAGGATTATATTTTAATTTTGTAAGCTTCAGGACTAAAACCACTTGAACAAATGAATTTCAAAGGATAGTAGCGCGCACGTGTCAAATATTTCTTTAAATATTATACTGTTATACTTACTTTTTCAGTTTTGGCATCTAGAAAAGGTACATATATTGCAATAAATGCTTGCGTACAGTTGAAGTACTTAATTGTATACATTATGCTCGTCGTTGATATCCAATGAAAAAAGGTGTGGTGGTCGGAAGTAAAACAATATTTATGCTAACGCGAACTGTACTTGCTAACAGTTACAACTGTGTAAGTGGGTGGCCGAAACCCACCGTCTTCTGTTTAGGGACTGACAAATCCAAAGTTTTAAAATTTGAATTACGTGGACCGAAATGTGTTATCCAGAGGTCACGACTACATTAGTGTCAAATGTCAAGCATTCGGCTATTTTCCTTCCATTTTGATTCTTGCAAGATGGTGATCCTTGCAGTTTCGTGAGTACAGGAACAGCAGTGGACAGACAGACATTACGTACGTTGACCACCGTGATGAAAGATGGAAGCAAGTTGGATTTTCCAGCAGGACATCTGGCCGACATGGCCAGGTGGTTAGGGCACTTGACTCGCAATCTGAGGGTCACGGGCTCGAATCCCTGTCCTACCAAACATGCTTGCCCTTTCAGCCGAGGAGGCGTTATAATGTGACTGACAATCCCACTATTCGTCAGTAAAAGAGTAGCCCAAGAGTTTGACAGTGGGTGGTGATGACTAGCTGCCTTCCCTCTAGTCTAATACTGCTAAATTGGTGACGGCTAGTGCAGATAGCCCTCGTGTAGTTTTGCGCGAAATTCAAAACAAACCAAACCAACAGGACAATGGAAAGCAAACGAGATCTCCGTTAAGACACAAGTAACTAAGTAAATATTTGTTCATCATTCTTGGACTCTAGACAATAGATAATTATTGTTACCGAACGGTACCAGCTAAAGATGTCCTTGTTATCAGCTTGAAAGATTAACACATGCAGTTGGAAGACAGGTTAAACTTGACGAGTCATGTCTTTGATGTCAGTTTGAGGTTGGTCTTCACGCCTGGCGTAGGAAGGTTGTTTAGTGAACAAGGATGGCCTTCTTGTCTTGCATAAGGTTGATTAGTGAACAAGGATGGTCTTCATGCCTGGCGTAGGAAGGTTGAATAGTGAACAAGGATGGTCTTCTAGTCTTGCATAGGAAGGTTGATTAGTGAACAAGGATGGTCTTCTTGTCTTGCATAGGAAGGTTGATTAGTGAACAAGGATGGTCTTCATGCCTGGCGTAGGAAGGTTGATTAGTGAACAAGGATGGTCTTCATGCCTGGCGTAGGAAGGTTGATTAG